CTTTACAGTGACTTTTCTGTCAAGCCAGTCCAATCGGAATTTATTCTTGACATTTGAGTCAATTTCTAGGATTAAAGACTCCTGATCTTTCGTCAAAAATTTCATAATTCCGCTCAAAACGATCCCAGAACAATGAATTTGCGAGACGAACAGGCCGCCATGAATCAGGTAAAACAATATGTTACATGCAATTTTATTGGTCCAATCGCTGGGCCGTTTATAATAGAGATAAGACTTCCGCAACAAATAATGCCTTCAGTGATCTGATTAGTTGAAGCTTTCATACACGTCCAATCGCAGGGCTGTTTACAAACGGAAAACGGAGAGACTGTTCGGGAGAGCTCGTGAAAACTCGACGATAAGGTACCTGACCGCCCCTAAAATTTTCTCAACGGATTTAGACGATTCACAAAAATGATCATTTTAAGAAATAAAACGGCGGATTTCCGCGGATCCGCGGAAAATTGCCATGTATGGGAATTGAAATGAGATTGTCATTTCATTCCATGTACAGTACTGTATATCACAGATTTTTGGGACTATGAGTCACACTTTTTTCATAGCTGGTCCTGCAACTTTTACTAAAGTGCTACTTGCATATATCAAAGTTAAAGTTCGTACTGCCATCCGTAGTCCCCGTTCCCTAATCGTGTTGACGGCAGTGAACGAGTTCCGGTTGGATTCGAAACTCCCGTTTCTAACTGTAAAAAAGTTTGTCTTTTTTGTTTAAAATGGCTTACCCTAACTAGAATCTTGCATTGCATTTTTGCCAAAGGTAGAATCCTTGCCGGTTTTTGCGCCTTTTGGTGCTGTAAATACTAAGTACATCCTTGTAGTGATGGATGCCACATGCTAAACTAGCTGGCTGGGGAGACATTCGCTTCGTTTGTTGCCATGAAAGAGGAAGGGAAGGAATCGAGAACAGGAATTATGGGTGCGAGTCTGAGCTCTACTATACTTGGTCTCGGTTATCGTAAAACTAATTTCCCTGCCAAAAATGCAACTTTTTTTTCTTCTTCATTATACATTATTTGATTGGTATAACTCGTCCGGAAAAAAGCAGCACTTTGTGTTATATGGATATTTCTATTGTAAAATATGTGCTGCGTGCATTGGCTCAATAAAGGTTTGGAATCATTGCCAAAGAGCACCTCTGAGGATCTTCTGCTTGACTGTGTAGTTTTTGCTCTCCTTCATGTGCGAGTCAAACTGCCAGGACAGAATCACGATGTATTGTTTCACCTTTAACACACGTACACACGCATTAGTTATTGTGGAGACAAAAGTTCTTCATCTTTTTACGCTATTTGCTACACCTACTTCATACTGGGAATTGAGGCTGAACGATAGGCTCATGGACTCTGCAGTGATGCTGTCGACGATCACAGAAGGAGGAGGCAGAGCTGCACCAGAGCAAACGTTAATGCAAATTTGAGCATTACAGTCAACCGTCAATATTTCAAACATCAGCAGGCGGCGGGAGTATGGAGCAACATTTTTAAATGGAGTGTATGCTAATGATCTCACCTTTCAAGGGGGTGATGGATTTAACTTCGGTCCAGTTTCCTAAACCTCGACTGGTCACAGCTGCTACCTGAAAAAAACAATGTCACAACATTGTATGCAGTCTAATGTATGGATTTTAGAATAATTTTTCAGATACACGAAGACATGTGAGTGTCTGTCTTACCCTGAACTGGTACTGCATGTCTGGTTGTAGCTCCTTCACCTCTGTGCTCGTTGTGGTAGTTGTCTGTGATGTCCACTCAATGGCTGTTTGTTCACTGTACTCAACCTGAGAAGCAGCACACACAGACATACATTTTTAAATCCTGTGTTCATTTTTTTTCCCCTAATTTAACTCACGTCGGACATTTTTTTTCTCTCACAGACATTACCAAAATTTTGATCGTTACCAACATTTATTGGAATATCCTTGGAAAAACACCTATGCCACAGAGGTAGAAATATGTATGGAAGTTAAAAAAAAACAAAAACAAAAAAAACAAACAGTGCGATGAGTAAGCGCGACCTATCCCAAAGTGATGAAAACATAACTTTATCTTGATAGCAAAAATGTTTTTACTTTGGATGATTGAATACATTCCATTATTAATTCTGCTTTTCATAACCTTTTAGAACAGAAAAAAAAACTTACAATGTACTCTCGAATGAGGCCATTTCCTTTGTCAGGGGGACTCCAGGAAACATCAACTGTCCCATCCTTACTATTATCACAAGACAGCTGCAGGTTCCTGGGAGCCTCTGGCACTGCAGAGAACACATTTTTTGGGATATAGTTGGCATCTTCATCTTGATTCAGATTTCAATGAACCAAAATAGGAAATGTCAACAACAGTTTAACTGGGGGGATGGGGGGCAGTTTAAAATTGTTATTTTACTTTCCTATGTTTTTTTGTAGTTATTTCAAATTACCCAATAATAGAAGCAGGTGGTTAGGAAAAAAATCTGGAAGCAACAGTGAAACACTACACATTCTACTTTCCACAATAGCTTGAGCCTGAGCACGAGATAGGTCATTTGTAAAGCATCATCTGATCGTTAAAAAAAAACAAAAACAAAAAAAAAACATTACAACTCACATCCTTCTGGCGTTCTAACTGTGATCATCTCATTGGTCTTGTGCAACTTGGCGAGACACTGCGTGAGCACCTTGACTTCGTAGGTGGTGTCTGGTCTCAGGACTGTAAGTTTGTAGCTGGTTTTGTTACTGTGAGTGTCCATGATGATCCACTGTGAGGTGCCTACAAGCCTAACACACATATAAACAAACAATCATGACTTCCTAGTAATGCTATTCATGCTGCTACAAAAGCAAACGAAAATGCCACTGGCATTTACCTACCTGTCGGTCACGGAAGCTGTTTATCAATGTAATCCTATCGAGTCAATCATTACAACATCGTCATCATCATTATAATGATGATGATTATTATAATTATTGTGAGGTTTTATTACTATTATTGTGAGAAAACACATTATATATTTTAACATATTCAACACAATATAATACAACACACTTCCATTAAAGTAAAAAAAACAAAAAATAACAACTGGCTGTCAAATGCTAAATGCAGGCGTTCTCACCTGTAGTAGATCAAGTAGTCACATGAGTCCAGGGGAAGATTTTTAGGACGAGACCATGTTAGAGTGATGGCACCCAGGAAGTCTGGATTCCATTGAAGGTTCTGGACTTTATAGGCCAGGGTATCCGCTTGAAGGAAAGAGAGTCATCCTCAATGCACAAATTGAAATAAAACTTGTAACTGTGTTCAGCTGTAAATGTGCTGCATGCTAACATATTGCACTTTGCTCCACATCGACTAATTAAGCCACAGAATACCAGCGGTGAAATTTTGTTTTGGGGCTAAAATTACAGACAGTCAGACTGACAGATACAGTATATAGATCTATCATAAAGAGAAAACACAATTTGATTTAATTATTTATGATTGTATTATTACTCCAAGTCTGCTGGGATGTGGGATGCACTCTAGTACACCTGCGACCCTCGTGAGGATAAGCGGTACAGTAACAGATGCATGGATGTTTTACACTTTTTTTAACAATGCGGACTGAAGACTTCAACATGAACTTACAGGTGCAATTGTCCTCATCGCTGTGGTCAGAACAATCTAAAAAGCCGTCACAACGCTCTTCATCCAGCACACATGCTTCACCATCAGCACAGCGGCTTCCGTTCACACAGGACAATGGCCCACGGGTGGCTGTGAAAAAAGTGAACGTTGAATGTTATTCACAATAAATAGTAGGAGATCTTAATGCGCCGTTGAGTCATGACAAGTACAGTGGTTACGTGGACGATCCCAAGGAGAAAATAGTGAGCTGGCTGTCCGAATCGCCAAACAGAATGAGGGAACCACTGTATAGTGACACATAATGTGATAGCATGGGGCTATATAGTGAATGAGGGCTTCAAGAAGCGTGGACATTCAGGCACAGACATTGTGTCACCCTGGTTAGTGCTCGCCGGACCGAAAAAGTTCTGGCTCCACTCCTGGTGACTTCCCAGGCCTTATTGTGAGATTTTGAAACCAAGATACAGAGATGCTGTGTTTACGATATCAATACATCCCTTATACCAGCATATTAGTTGTCGTTGTGCATGTGCATTCATTCTTATGTACCGTATTTTTCAGGCTATAAGTCGCACTTGTTTGGCTGGTCCTGCGACTTATACTCAGGTGTGACTGGAATGAATAAAATTAGAGCTCGGACTCGCACCTAAAATCACTGTCCTGAACGAGTTTCAGTCGGATGATGAAGTTTTTCTTTTTAGTTTCAAATTATCCACCCAAAGGTAGAATCATGGTTGGTTATTGCGACTTCTGGTGTTATAAATAGCAAATCCTTGTTGTGGCAGATGCCGCAAGCTAAACTAGCGAGCTAGCTTGGGAGACGGTCCCATTGCTTGTTGCCGGGAGAGGTGGCAGCAAACTAATGACACACATCACACATTAATTGGCATGACCCCTCATTTTATTTCTTTTTCCTCTTCTTTTTCGTTTGAGATTTCTTCTATTTTCCACCAGCGGTTGCCAAATAGTTTGGTGCATTAGGGCCACATTCTGAAACGGTGTCCGTGCGGCAATATTGAGTGATTTGCTTGCATTATGACAAAACGAGCATATATTATAATGCATTCATTCATTCATCTTCCGATCCGCTTTATCCTCACAAGGGCCACGGGGTGTGCTGTAGCCTATCCCAGCTGTCTTCGGGCAGTAGGCGGGGGACACCCTGAACCGTTTGCCAGCCAATCGCAGGGACACAGTAACGAACAACGATTCGCGCTCACACTCACACCTAGGGACAATTTGGAGTGTTTAATCAGCCTGTCATACATGTTTTTGGAATGTGGGAGGAAACCGGAGGACCCGGAGAAAACCCACGTAAGCATGGGGAGAACATGCAAACTCCACACAGGAAGGCCGGAATTCTGGAATTGAACCCGGTACCTCTGCACCGTAAGGTCCATGCGCTAACCACTCGACTACCGGGCCGCCTTATTATAATATGATTATATAATATTGATATTGATATCTATTGAACTTATCATTCCTTTTTTTTCAAATACAGTTAGGGCTGGCTCAGGCTTATCTTGAATCATCCCTTAGTTATGCTGCACTCGGCCTTGTCTGTCAAGAATTTATCCTCCCCTTTCGTTTACTGTGTGTGTGATGGTAGCATCGCTTTCAGCAGTACAAAGAGACTCACGACAATGGGCCTCGTCAGACGCATCCTGACAGTGGATCCTGCCATCACAACGCTGCCAGTCGGGGATGCAGTGATGGAGATGGCGACACCGAAACTGACCCTGACTGCAGTGACCATGGGAGGAGGGAGCCTGGGTGGAAACTGGGATCTGTGTCACGGAGGCATTAACTGCACATCCAAGAAAAAAAGGAAGAAAAAAACATTTACAGACATCGAATACATGTAAGATGCAGACACAAACACATCATGGAACGACAGTTACGTATGTTGCTACGGTTTTATAAATCTCGAATTTCCACCAGAGGTGCTGCCTATTAGCACAGAATGTCCCTTTGCGCATGCGATGTTCGAGTAAGCAGGTGTCACTAATGGTGTTGTTGGTATGCATACTCAAACTGCGCCTGTATGAAGGGACAAGCCGTGCAGTTAGGCACCATCTCTGGTGGTCAGCAGGAATGATATAGACCAGCAATTGCCTTTGAAAAGAGGCTTCACAGGTCAACAAGTTGTACCTGTGGGACATCCCAGCTCATCACTGCCATCACGACAGTCAGCATAACCATCGCAAACCCAGGTGTTGATGATACAAGCTCCAGTGCCACAGTGGAAGCGGTTGGGGGCGCAGGTCGATGGCCCAGGAGCCACAGTGTGAGGAACTGCTCCACCTGGAGGATGGTTTATTTTGTTTAACTCATGCTGACTAAATGTTCATGTTGGATAAATTCATTCATTACTGTTAAACTAGACAAGATAAATCATCAATGCTAACAGTATAGAGCTGTTAATTGTGTGAATTTTAAGCATGTAAACACCAAAATGAGTTGATGACAAGTTTTAGAATTGATCGTTTTTCGTTTAAATGCAATATTGAAACAAATTTTGAGAAAAAGAGTCATCCTCGTGGGCAGACATCAACTAATTTGCTCCAGTTGTTGATTGAAAAGCAAAATTTACAATGATAATTTTGTTAAACAGCATTTAAATATTCACTGTCGGTGGCTTTATAAACACACAAAGGAGAAAAAAAGGTGCAGAGATGACAATCGGGTCAGAGCTGAAATTTGAATTGAAAGGAATTCCCATGGCATTTGTCTAAGATAGGCGACAAGGTGCACGAGCATTTAGTACGTCTGCCTCACAGTTGGTTTGGCATTCGAATGTTGGCTTCGGCCTTCGTGTGTAGTGCTTGTGTAGGATTTCTCCAGGAATGTCGACTTTTCCCATGGTAAAAAAAACATGGATGGTCATCACAATTGTTATCAGGCTTTTGAAAAGCTTTCTGATGAGATGATCATTTGAATCAGGGTGTGTTGGAGGAGACATAGAAGACAGGCTGGAGAGGTGCCCTTGAGGACCAAACTTGGGCACCCCTGCTGCGAAGGGGAAGCGATATAATGGACATATTACTTAACTCCAGTTCGGAACATGGCAATTCATCACTCTAATTCAGGGGTCCCCAACCGCCGGTCCGCGGACCGGTACCGGTCCGCAGGGCATTTGGTACCGGGCCGCACAGAAAGAACTTGCCTTATTTCCGTTTTATTTATTTTGGAATACGAAAGATGTTTTATTTTGAAAAATTACCGGATTCTCCGTTACATCCGTCTGTGTCACGCTTGACACATGTCAAGCCACGCTTCTACGTCACGTGAGCGATTCCGCTTAAAAACAAAACACCAGAGCTCGCAAAATGAGTAAAAAAACTGCTGGAGATCAAATGACAGCGGCCTTAAAAGTACGTTCGAGACAACTGGATTAAAGTTATGGCTGAATATTCTGAGATCGCCACAGTAGCACTGTTGCTATTTCCGACATGCTACCTGTGTGAGGCGGGGCTTTTCTGCAGCAATGGCGACTAAAACAAAATTACGAAGTAGACTTGACGTAAAACACACACTTGAGGTGTCATTGTCTCCTATTACCCCGAGATGGGACCGTCTGGTTGCAGAAAATCAAGCTCGGGCCTGTGGTGAGTCGTCATTTTCATGCACTTTGAATTTGCGTTGTATCGTATTTTGAAGGCATTAAACATTACCATAGCGATCAGAGTGTTGCGGCCAGATTAGACGCTCCTTGTGTTTATTATTATATTTCGAAAACACCACAGTTTTCATGCAGCTCATACCATATTATTTTGTTGTATTATTTCCGCCACACCTTAAATGCCGGTCCCTGAAAATATTGTCTGACATAAATCGGTCCGTGGGGCAAAAAAGGTTGGGGACCCCTGCTGTAATTGATTAATCGAAGTTTTTGGGTCAGGAAATTTTCTTTCCCAAAAATACAATAAAATCTAGCCGTCCAGGGCAATGCACAATGTTGAATAACAATCGGAACCATTCATGTTGCAAAAGCTTATCAACGTGCTGATCAAATTAAACTGTGGTAAAAGCATGAAATACATTGCCCACGGGTAAATAAATACAGGCTAGAAATACTTCTGTTTCATTTAAAAGTGTCCTTTCTGAGGCTACTTTCAGTGTAGGGCATATGTGTCGAACTCAAGGCCGGGGGCCAGATCCGGCAGGTCACATCATTTTATGTAACCCGCGAAAGCATATCACCTGTGTCAACCTGCATGATCCTTGCTAAAATCTGGACTGAAATGTCAAAATGTCATGTGTAATAAATCGAATTTTACAGTAATTTGGCTATTTTGTTTACACTCACGTGAGCAATAATTGAACAAACTGACTGATTTCAAAACTAGTAATCCGTCACTTTGTTGTGTACAAGTAATAATGCGATGAGACTATTTGTTTTCACGGTCATAATGGCTCCCTGAGGGAAGACGTACCTCTGAAGTGGCCCGTGACAAAAATGAGTTTGTCATGCCTGGTCTCGGGAGTGGGATTGTATAACATGTAACATGTAAAGCCTAATGTCGTTGACAGGTTCACATTTTTTTAACTTTTTTTGAAGGCCAAATGGCCTGGCTCTGGAATAATGTGGAATAAAATTAGTGGCGCGTCTACCTGTGCAATCAGATTCGTCAGACCAGTCTCCACAGTCGTTCTCATCATCACACTTCCACCATGTTGGGATGCAGCGTCCACTTTTACACTGAAACTGGAAATACCTCGAGCAGCCAGGAACATCAGTGGGAGCAGCTGAAAAAACACAAGGGAGAAGAGGAAGTGAGCTTTTTGCTACTCACAACGAAGCACTAAACAAAACCACATTTAGGAATGGCATCTGTTCATGAGGCGAGGCATTGGGTGAATGGTTAGCACGTCCGCCTCACAGTGCTGAGGTGCAGGGTTCAATTTTGGCTCTGGCCTTCCTGGGAAGAGTTTGCATGTTCTCCCAGTGCCTGCATGGGTTTTCTCCAGGTACTCCAGTTTCCTCCCACATTCCAAAAACATGCATTGCAGGTTAATGCAACACTCAAAATTGTCCTTCGGTGTGATTATGAGTGCGAATGGTTGTTCATCTAAATGTGCCCTGCGATTGGTTGGCAAACAGCTCAGGGTATACCCTGCCTGTTGCTGAAAGACAGCTGGGATGGGCTCTAGCACGCCCGCGCAAGTGGATCAGAAAATGGATAGATGGATGGATCTGTCCACGAATCACAATTGTCTTTGTGTCCTGTGTTGCATATTTTTATCTGAGGAGTACACCAGAAAAATCCTCCTCACCGCAGTTGGCTTCATCAGAGTAGTCACCACAGTCGTCCATGCCATCACATTTCCACTCCAGGCTCACACACATTCCGTTGGCACACTGAAAGGTGTATGCGTCACACACTTTGCTGAACTCTGATGGCGTAGCTAGCAAAACAAGGAAAATGTGTGTCAGTAGGTTTCAGAGTTACATACAACATCTGGTATATTTACGTCACAAACACAGTGGTACTTCTACTCACGAACGTCTCTTCATACGAAATTTTCAAATTACGAAATTTCTTCCAGAACCAATTAATTTCCAAAGTAGAGGTACCACTGTACTTTAGAAGTGTGTCAATTATTAACCAAGCAAAATAATTGTCTGAACATGCAGCTTGGGATTCAGCAACACGGGGAACGTGAATTTAAATGATAATGTAAAACTGTAAACTGTTAAAAAAAAAAACAAAAAACGATCGTCAGTACAGTATGTCAGAATTGGGCATTTGAAGCTACAGTAAACATCCAGTCTTATTTTAAGCAGCAGTCCAGTCCGCTTGCAGCTTTTCTGGACATTAAGTTGCGCTGACCAACTGCATTGCAACGCATATCGAGTTGTCTATTCGTTTTTGTACTTCTTTTCAAGGTAACAAGACAAGGAAACCGGTAACAGGCAGATGTGAGATTCCTTACCACACTTGGCATAATCTGCATCTTCATCAGACCCATCTTCACAGTGTTTGACACCATCACATACCAGGGACTGAAAGAGACACTGGGCTCGATTCTTGCATACAAACTCCATGTAGCGAGTGCACAAAGGGTCTGTGGGTGAAAATTCCATGTCACTTTAAAAAAAAAAGGTCAGCTATGCTGTGCTTACACATATTTGAGTATCACTGTCACAAGTTGTAATAATTTATGTGAGGCATGGTAACCATGCTCACCGCAGTAGTCCTCATCAGCACCATCTTGACACTCCTTAATGCCATTACAGTGGGAAGTGACTGGCAAGCAGGTGTTATTGGAGCAGAGAAAGCCTTTGCATTTGTTTCCTTCTGGAAAATAACACATTAATATACAGTAAATATTGGTGAAAAAGATATAGTCTTCTTCATGAGTGTAGCGATGACGCACAAGCATAGGTAAGGAAGCGTCATTATCCTGCAACATGTCAAGAGCGTAACCAGCCTCTTATCCGTATGCACACAGACAAACGTGGAAGCCAATCTACTGAATGGGCGCAACTCGACGCACTAAATTGCCACAGAGTTCATTCTGCACATTGTGGGAGGACAGAGGAGTGTACAATAAGCAAATGGATTCATTTAACATGTGCAGTACGTAAATTGATTATTTTAGCACGTGCAGTGTGATTTATCACACCTGAGATGAACTGTGTTGATGATGTTATGACTTTAAATAGCACGTGTGAAGTAAGGGTGTAAACCAGCATGCAAACCATAGCAAGGAGAACTTTCCCACAAGTAAACATTTTGTCGATGAAAATTATCACGACGCATCGACGATCCAGAAATGAAAATCTTGGGCTTGTTAATGATCGAAGGGCTAACGTGCAAAACCCTCTTTCAAAGACCGTGGTCTCCACCGGTTTTACGCCTGTTGTCAACAGCGCATGCCATCTGTTAGAGCGTCATCTGTTGGATCAGAGAAACTTTTCTCGATTTCTTTTTTTTGAGGGCGGTAGGGGGGGGGGCACTAATTCTGAATCTGTCCTTGTTTTTTCTCAGTTTTTCATAATAGTTATCTGATTTTGTAATATATTTAGCAAGATTTACGAATTAAGTATTACGTGCAACACCAGGTGAATTTTTGTTTCTGGAATGCCATAGCTATAATTTACAATGCCTATAAAAATTAAAGTAAGTTTTTAAACAAAAAAAAAAAAAAAAAAAAAAACAAGAATAACTCAAAAACCTAATGTGCTAGAAAAAGTAAAGACATTGTTTAAATCAGCATCACAAATATATTTAGATCCACACAAAGCCATCTCATGTGTGCATTTGCCTGTAATGTATTGTCCAATGTGTGTTGTATATTGTATGTGTTTCTCCTACGGGAGACCAAATAAAATTCAAATTCAAATTCAATTAAAAGTAGCCGTTGACCAGTGTTATGTCACAATCTTGTCTGCAGGATATTATCATCACCTAATTAAACCATAGAAAATGCCTATACAGGTATAGAACGTGTGTTACTAAGCGCTTCATGTTACCACAATAATGAGGGTCTTCATCTGAGCTGTCCTGGCAGTCATTGTCACCATCGCACGTCCAGCGCTGTGGTATGCAGTGGCCCGTGTGACACTGGAAACTACTGGATTCACATGTATGTTGGGCAGCTAGAAGAAATAAACAATAGTTGGAGATCATGACAGCAGTAAGGAAAGCTTTGAGCATACAAGCATAATTTTGCATTAGGCGTAGAAAAAAAAGTAGTGTTTCCGGTAACCCGACCGACCGAGAATTTCTACGTCGAAAAAAAACTTAACGGTCAGCATTCTTTTCAAACAAGCCTCTACATTTTTGTGTAGAGGGTTTACATCGGTGCAAACTCTCGCGATATTCACGTTGAGCGCGTGCGTCGTTTGTCAACAACATTGAAACATGGCGGCGGCCGCGATCTCCGACGACAGGTTAAACCGCGTTTTCTGTGTTACAGTCGCATGCTCGCACCGTAATGTTAAGAAAATAGCATCCATTGATGTATCGAAAAAATTCAGCGAACTATTTGATGAACACCACGGGCCGAGTAAAAACTGACGGCGGAGGAGGACGGCGGCGGAGGACGGCGGCGCGCCCCGGCCCCCCGAGTCCGGAGCAGGGAGAAAACTAAATAGGTGGCAGCGGCGCCGGACGCGGAGCGGCGGGTTCAATGTCTTCTTGTTTTATGTTTTATGGTTATTTTGTTTGAATTTTTGATGGGAAAAAAAAAAGATTAAAAAAAAAAAACTTTGTCCGACCTACCGACCCTATGCTGAAATTTCATGTTACCGGAAACCTTTTTTGTTTGGCCTAATCATCTGATTTTAACCAGTATCACAAACGGGTAAGAATTTTGTGTCAGCCAGTATTAAGTATTGAAAATGTACACAGGTCAGGCGTTTTTCAGTGGGATTTTATCATTGAACTCTTTAAAAACATTACCTGTGCAGTTAGCCTCATCTGACCAATCTCTGCAGTCATTGTCTCCGTCACAACGCCAGGCATCACGGATGCAAACACCTCGTGCACATGTAAACTCCTCAGCGCCACACACGTGAGAATCTAAGTCATATAATGACAAACAAACTAAAAATCAACCTTTAACTTAATCTTGGGGATTGATAGGTCTCATGAAAACGCTACACTCTTGCTGCATCTTAAAACCAGTACGGTATTTACCATACACTACCAGTATGGTAGCAGAATGTTGCATAGTGGGCCATATATGGATGGATAGGAAAGTTAGGCAGAATTCATTGAAAGAGTTCAAGAAATTGCTGATTAGACTAAAAACCACCTTGTCGTCAATGTAGGTATGAATGCAAGCGTAAATGATTGTATAAGACCTGTGATTAGATGGTAACCAGTCCAGTGTGTGTCCTGACTCTCACCCAAAGTCAACTGGGAAAGGCATATCTATCCAAACACTGGCTGGTGTCCTATGAAATATTGAAACCAATGCGGATATCAACATGTGCATGAAGACTTACCACAGTGCTCTTCATCACTGTTGTCTCCACAGTCATCTTCATGGTCACATTGGAAAGCCAAGGGAATGCAAGAACCGGACAAGACGCAGCGGAATTGGTTGGTCGGGTCACAGGTTGTAGTTGCTGAAGATACCAAAGCAAAACAATTTCAGGCATGCTCAGCTTTTATTGGAAGATAGCACTTTCAATGGACATCAGAGAGAGGGATGACAGGGGTCAGAATAACAAGGCACCCAAATCGTGACTGCCGTTATCAAGGAACAATTGATAGATGATTGTTCTTCGCAACAGGACTTGGACATATGACTTTACAATCCAAAAGCTGAAGTCTTTAATATTCATGTGTGAACCCCAAGCACACGCACGCACGCGCGCACGCACGCACGCACGCAGGCAGGCAGGCAGGCAGGCAGGCAGGCAGGCAGGCAGGCAGGCACACACACACACACACACACACACACACACACACACATTTTTTTTATTGGGTGGGTTTTCTCCGAGTACTCCCACATTCCAAAAACAAGCATGGCACGTTAATTGATTACTCTAAATTGTTCCTAGGTGTGACTGTGAGCACAAATGGTTGTTTGTCTATGTGTGCCCTGCGACTGACTGGCAAACAGTTCAAGGTGACACTGCCTACTGCCCGAAGACAGCTGGGATGGGCTCTAGCACACCCACGACCCTTGTGAGGATAAGGATAGGTTAATAATAAAATGTACCTTATTTATAATTTTACATAGATACATATATATGTACTTATCCATGATAACACAATAACAATAATAATATAATATTAATGATAATAATAATATAACATAGGCAATATTGGTATGCATGTGTGTTTGTTTGTGTCCATTGTGTACTTACGACACTCCTGTTCATCACTCATGTCTCCACAGTCATTGTCACTGTCACACTTCCAGATATTACTAATACAACGGCCATTTGAGCAGCGGTACTGGTTGGTCGAACAGCTTAGCTCTGACAATGACAGGAATAGCCACACGCAACCAATAATTAGCCAAGTAGACTAGTTATTTCTATTGAAGACATAACCAGACCAATTGTAGCATTGGGTCGTTCTATTACAACAGAGTCTCACCAGTCTTTACACAGGTGTTGTTTTGGAGCTGGTATCCTGTGGGGCACTGGCATTGCAACTGTCCATCAGGCAGGGTGGTAGTCGGGGTGCCTTCTGGGCAAATGCAGGTGTGTCTTGACCCAGGCTGAGGCAGACACAGTAACCTGCATGGCAGGTCAGCGCAGGCGTTGTGACCTGGAAGATAATATTTCAAGACAAAGTGTCCATCGTGAAGAGTGCAGTATTTTAGGAGGTTACTACAATAATTAGATTCTACAGGATACACTACTGTTTGACTCGTTAAGCTTCACTGTCTGATACTCAAGGAATTCAGTTATTTACATGAAAACAAGATGTACACATTAAACTGCTTAATGTATGATTTCACTTCCTCCACTCATATACTGTATGTTTTTCTCACCTCCGTTCTTGCCTTTATAAAAAATCTTAAGGTCCATGACACCAGTCAGTCTGCCAACTATTAGCTCATTACTCTGAGTACCAGTTTTCGGAGCTTTGAAGATCCCCATTCTGGACCAGTCATCCCAATACAAGTCATTCTGCAAGCAAGTTTGTGAAAATATTCTCAATATTCTCAATGAACTCATTCAAACTGTTTAAATTAAAAAGATAAACACTCACCTTGAAGACAGCAATGGCATAAGGGTGGGGCAACTCCTCAAAGAGAATGCGTCGTTGAAATCCGTTGAAGTCAGCCCTCTCAATGCGGTCGCTGAAGGCCTCGGTCCAGTACAACCAGTGGTCATCCGCTGTAATTCCATTGGGCCAGCGGACACCCTCTGATGCGATTGAGGACATGTTGGTTCCATCCATGGAGCTTCGGTAAATGCCTGCTGCTCTGTCTCCCCAGTCAGTCCAGAACATCAGACTGTGGGACGAGACATTACAATACATACTCAGCATACATAACAAACCTACGGTGCAAAATTAAATCTCAGAGTCAATGAGAATGAATGACTAACGAGGTGGCCGAATGCAAATTGCATGTGCGTGTGTGTGATTGTGTGCGCGTGTGTGTGTGCGTGCGTGGATAATGTTAGGAGTTTACCCCTTTTTAGGCAGGAGAACAAGAGCTCGCGGATGTTCCAGGATAGAGGAGTTCAGGAGGGTGTGACGCAAATCCCCATCAGGATTGGAAACCTTAAACATGCACATACCAGCAATTACATTTTTTTATGTCACAAGTGAATGAGCAAAAATGGAAAATTATCCTTTAGTTCCCAAGATATGTAAAGGGAACACGGGACTTGTGTATATTATAACTCGTATTCGCAAGATACATTAATATTGCCTCCTGGGTTCTTTCACTAACAGCCTGCGCAACTGTACATGTAGTTTTTGACCAGTGACATTACGCTTACGAACTAATTTTCAAATATACATTATACAACTTTATAATGTATCAAGTTAAATACATGTGTACCTCAATTTTCTGTGCGCCAGCATCAACCCAGTAAAGCAATCTGCTGATGGGGTCAAAAGCCAGGGCCTCCACGTTCTGCAGGTCCTTCCTTACTATAATCTCCTGACCTGTGCTGCCATTTAGACAGAGACGCTACAATAGGAAACATCCGAAGAATTGTTTTAAGATGCCTTAAAATAAAACAACATTGGAAAATACAACAATAAAAGGTCATATGACCTTGAATTGAAGACTTATATCAAAGCTTGCCTGTTTGTGAGTCCCTCTCCTCATAATGCCAAACCTTGTTTTAAACACAGTTAACTGCTCACATGATCATTTTAAGGTGATGCATAGTCTCCGTTGTGATTACTCATTTGACTGCTGCTACAGTACATGCGAAATTTTGGATCAAGTAGAAGAGAAAGGAAGAGTATGGTAAGCTTGGATATGATTCAAAATTAGTTCTATGTGGTCCCTTCAGTTACTGTTAGTTAACTGTGTCACGGAGGAATGACTCTCAAACCTGGATGGTATCCAGCAAGATGTCAGCCCAGTACAGGCAGTTCTTGTCATAGTCAAAGTCCAGAGCCACAGCCTCCTTTAGGCCCACCAGAGGGAGGATCTGGTCAGTGCCGGTGGCCAGGTCATAGCGATGGATCGAGTTCCTCACAGCATACAGGATGAACTCATTACTCTCTGTACGAACGTAAAATAAATGTCTAAATGGTGAGAAAGTGATGAACAGAGGACATTGATCACTGTCAAATAAGATTGGTACAGATTAATGCGAAGGGATACCAGTTTCAAACTGATTTTTGGTATCATTATTTTTTTTAGCAAATTGCCTTGAACAATATTAATAATTTATAATATTATTATAATTATTATTTATATTAATTTATGAAAACCATGTCCCATCACTGGCTACTCATGTTGCTCTTTGGGACTACCCAGTGCCCATGAGCACAACGTCGGTGACCCTTGAGCTCAAGCTTATCCTATTTGACCCTGGGCAAGAAGCGATGTACAATATACCCTTGAATGGTCACCAACAGTCAGTCGCAGGGGAATGTGATTAATTATCACAAATAAAATGAAAGATGTAGTTACCTCCAACAGGACAAGGTATCATCTCTCCGTCCAGTCTGGCTTCCACATCCCCTCCAGTGCAACTGTCCCCTGGTACTTTCCTATATCTGTGGCAGGACAGATTGGCTAACAGTTTTCAGAAGTCTGACACTTGGTGGTGCTATTGACAAAGTGATAAATATGAAAGAATCGTTCATTTGTCTATCGTATGTAAAAAAGGCGGGTGGAGTTGTACAGTATGCTCATGTTTTACGATTTTACTAAGTACACTTCAAGGTACTGTAGCAGTAATGATAATTAACTGGTTGGGTTTTTATTACTTCTGTACATAAGTTTGTATATTTCAGCCCAATGTGAAAAGTAGCTGCTTATATTTAATGCAGTATAGTTGAATGTAAATATTGTCAAAACTGTTGCTGCGGGACCAGTATCCTGTATTTTAGTGGTACAGATAATTTTTTAAAACTACATCAATAAGAAAATATGCCATTCGTATTTGTATGTTTCATGTCCATGTTTGTGAACAGTTCTCAGAGCTTTGTTACAGCTGCAGCGGTTGTGAAGGCTCTATATAAATAAAGCTGTATTGTATTGTATTCACTTTAGCATACCACCATCTAGTGGCTGCATAGCACAACCGCAGCCGTTAATGTAGCTTCTATTCTATGAGCCTTTTTATGCAGTGTGCCCTATATATGACAGCAGTTTTAAAATAGGCCATTCATTGAAGGTGCGCCTTATGATCTGAAGCGGTTTATAGTGCAGAAAATAGTACTGTACCTTAAGATTAGGAAAATGAATGTCAATGTGAAATAATCACTAATGATTGAAATGCTGAGGAAATGCCAATAACTCATCACACATGAATTCAAATTCCAAGTTGCAATGGTTGCACTGTAAAGTTAAAAACTAGCGGCTCACCCTTTGCTGTGCCGGTAAGTGGTGCCAACAGGACATGGTACTGGAGGAGCATGAAGGTCACCTGAAAACTCAGGGTCAGGAACACACACTTGCAGAGACAAGTCCTCACTCAGCTTGAAGCCATAGTCACTGCAAGGAGGAAGAGGCGAAAGAAACACGCTTACCATCTGCCCTATTTTTAACATGCAATTCAAAAAGGACTCATTATTATAGTCATGATGGAAGCTCCAGGAGCGATAAACTAGCTCATCAAAAGCAGTAATTTAATTTGATAATAGCAATGACAGCAAGTGGCAGGTTCAAGAACTTTCTTTCAGACTTTTGCAGTCATCTGCACTGTCCTTGATCCCCCTTTACAATATACCCAAGTAACGTTTGGAATCCTAATGAAGACAAATAATTAAAGAAATTGGTTCCAACAGCTTTGTCACCAGAGAAGAAATAGATTATTTCAACTGCGGTGAGTGGGATGGCCAGCGTTACATGACAACTCACTCAGGAGTGGCCATAAGATAACATGCGAGTTCGCACACAAATCTTACTTTAAGTTTTTCCAAGGGTGCCCAACCTTTGTGACCCAATATGTACTTTTGAATGGCAACATGGCAGGCTGCATTAGCTAACCTCATATCACTTTTTCTTGTTATCATACAACCACTATAGCTTACCGATCCTGAAAAGGACAGTATATTTTTCTTAATGTCTGAATGAATTGTGTGATGATGCGTCCATTGAAATGAACAGAAACAAATGTAATAGATTTCAGAATGTTTTTCAATTTGTATTCACAGAATGAAAGCGGCGTCTCGTCAACGTATGCTATTGTAAAGCTTCTGAATTCAGAACTTGCTTTTTATTCTCCATAAAGAATAAATTTCCGCACTAAGGCATGTTTGATGTTGCTCTATGTTGGTGTCGAAATGTCACGAGTATTGCATGCATGCATGGGCTCTCACCATTCATAGTCCTGGCGGGAGCAGGAGCAGTTAGACATGGTGACCGGACGGTCAAAGTCCTCGCCGTTGAAACATTTAGCATGAGGTGTTCGTCTTTTAAACGTTATCTCCCTGCCCAAAAGACACTCATTACCATGTTCATCTGAAGGAGACCAATGCTTGTAGTCAGCCTCAGCACATGGAACACCTGGACAAAAGAGAATGGTGGTGGTCAGTTTGTTAACCATTCTTGTTATTGTGACAGGCAGTGCATCTGGGACTTAGACTCAACTCTGACTTAGATTAATGATGCAGGTCTTTCAAATACTGGGAAAGATTGGGAAATTACACAATTAGTAAATTGGTGAAAATAAGTTAAACAACATACATTGCAAGGATTACTGCACTCAACTCAAATCAGAAATAAAAGGACACAACAGGTAAACCTGCTGAGAAGCAAATATAAGAAAAAAATATGTAAACATCCATTTGCAAGCTGATGCTGCAAAACCCATGAAACATCAGATGTTGAAAAACTTCAGTTTTCCCTATCCCTCTGAACTGACTCTTCGCACGCAGTCCAACCTACCCAAAACATCAGAGGCGTTGACCTGCAGAATGAGCCAACTATGTCTCTGGTGGGCATAGGATCCAAAGATGGTGAAAATGGTACTTTTCTCCCCAGGCTCCGTCAGTAACTGGTAAACATACACGTCTGTGTCAGAGAATTGAAATTCGGTCCATGTCTCGCCCTCATTGGTGCTGAACCTGCAGGAACAAATTTACATTGTATTTCTGTAGTTTTCCTTTTTTCTTATTCCGCCCTCTCCCTTTTTTTTTTAAGTGAACACAAATTGATTTTACCCTCCCCTTGGCATTTGACTCAGCAGTGGACAACGCAATACGGACATAGTGCATCCAGAAAGTATTCACTGTGCTTCACCTTTTCCACAGTTGTTATGCTACAGCCCCATTCCAAAATAGAACAATTATTATTTTTTCTCTCAAAATTCTACACACACACACACGCGCGCACACACACACACACACACACACACACACACACACACACACACACACACACACACACACACACACACACACACACTTACCTCACAACAAGTTATGGCTTTCAGGTGAAATTTATGGAAAAAGCTTTCACATTAAATGTGGAATAGGTGATATCCCTTCTGGATGCACTGTAGAATTTCAACCGAAGAATGCTTAAAGATTAAACCAGGCTAACGAGTAATCAGGTAAAAGGAATTCAGTAGCTAAATTGAGTTAAGGGTTTATCACAAGAACCACTGCTGGCTCTTTATTGTTTGTTTTGGCGCTGATATGCATTATTCAGCCAGCGAGAGATGTTTATTAGATCTGCAAATCTACTTCATATTCACACTAAATGATCTCAAACCCCACAGAGGTTGCCTGATGGTTGCTTGTTTTCTGTATGGCTTGAATTCAAAGTCCTTCCTTTTTTCATTGTAGCAGAATGGATGATCGATTTTACTTGGAGGCCCATCCTAATAACGCACATCCAAGTTGGACTTACTTGAGATGAGTACAGGAGCCTCCTTGTGGGATAGCCATCAGGATACCGCCATGGTCTCCCCATGTGTAGAAATGAGGACCTGCTAATGCCTAAAAATAAGACCCGCAATAAATATAATCATGTCAATAACATGCAGTAAAGCGACAAACCTTTCAGCAAATCTTTATTTATTTTCGCTTTTCAAGCTATGTCTACTGGAGTGAAGTATCATTTACATTTAAGACAAAATAAGTTAGTTTCATATTTCACACACCATATTGGACTGAAGTTCAATGCTGAAACATCTCAATGAAAATGTGCCTCTTTAAATGATTTTCTGGAATGTGAAATTAACGACCCCTACATGAGAACAAACCATTTTAAAAGTAATCTTCACCATAAAGGAAGTGCATGCGTGCATGTTAAAACAATTTTTTGGGGGGGTGAAAGCTGCTTGATATTCAGTTCAAGATGTATCTGTATGTGTTAAATTTTAACAAACCTCCCTCCATCGGGCTCCTGCGCTGCTTGACACATACACATTGGGTTTGTTCGCCAAGCTGCTGCCAAACGATCCTGTAATAACAGCAGAAAAAATATATCTATTTAAACAGAACTAAGGTACAGTAGCTGAAATTCATCAAGAGTTTGGCCAGCAGAGGGGAGTGCATACATATGAAGCCTCATGAAGGCTTATTGCCTCCCTACAGACTAAGAACCGCTTCCAAATTGTATTAGGCTCTATCATGTTAGATCAGGTTCTGTTGCGTGTTTCACATTCTAACACAGTCGACTGAATTCCTCATCTCCATAGTGACTATCATGGCAATTGTTTTGACAATTCAAATATCTGACACGTTTGCCCATTCTGTCCACACGAACTGTCTCATGACCAAGCTTGCGGAGTAATGGAATAACAGCATTACATATTCAGGTTAAAAACAAAAGAAAACAAATTACAGAAAACAAAACACAATCACATTAAAGGTACTTCTATTCAAAATGGGGATTCTTTGGTTTTCACAACCTGTTTTAAAACCGGGGCCGCAAACGCACACCCGTATCCACATTTTATTCGTAGAAGGCGTTATACAACATGAAAGATTTGTCAGTTCGTGGTCACAATGCGAGAAAATGTAAAGGATCTCTTCAGGATGTGCCGCCGGGTCATGAGGGAACATCGGCGTCGGTGAAAGAGTGTGGAACAAACTGTGATGTGTATTTTAGCCTCTGCTACTCGGCAGGCCCAACCCTCCGCACCCCCACCCCACCACCACCGCCCGACAGCACATCACAGAAATCAGGATTGATGGTGACTGAGAAAAATAACCAGGACTTGAATAAGGACTTTAAAAAAAATAATAAATTGGCCAACATTTGGCAACAGCGCATATGATTTGGGCAAACCGAGCTGCCATGGCTACCTGGAACATAACACAAATTCCATTTAAAGGAAGTAATCGTGAAAACACATCGTAAGTAGTCGAAGCAGTTACACAGCAAATTTGAATGCTGTTCAGTGTGTCAAAATTTGTTGAAGTGTTGAGTAACGGTAACTTGTTTCTTAATTCGAACATAACTTTGAGTTTCCAGACTCTTTTGTGTTCAATTGTGTTGGCCACAAATCGATACATAAAATCTATTGCACAAAAACAAACTTTATAGACCTCAAGGTCAGTCAAATTGGGTTTTTCCTTTGCATGGCCACACTTGACCATATTATGATGTATTCAGCTAGTTCATTTTTGGTGTAATTTAGTGGATTCACTGGGTCACCTGAGAACAAGTCTCTGTGGCAAATCCAAAAGCAGTGTTGAAACTGGCAAACGTTAACATATTGCCTTTGTTTCTCAGTGACTTATGACTTGAACCAATAGTAGTTTATTCATATTGCAGTTTAACCTCTCACAAATCTGGTGTGAAGAAAATAACTAATAGTAATTCATACCATGCTTGGTTGAAAAAACATACTACCGGTAGTTATAATGAGAAACCAGGGGGGACCGTGAGTTCCTTTTAAGGCACACACTCCTAGTTTACAAGTTTAAGGAAGGCAAACTCAAGAGTTTTTAAATACTATTAAAATAATTAGCTCAATATTATTATAAAATATTCATACCTTTCAATAGATTTTGCTGTCATATTTTTAAAATATCAGATGAAATATTCAATTCATTGCCCTGTGAAACAAAATCTTTGGTAAGGGTTCTCCAGTTTCCTTTAGGCTAAAATGAAAAACAGTGATTACAAATATGTCAAATATTTTGGACCTTTCAATGTGGGATTAAGTGACATTTCTCAAGATATCTGAGGCTTTAACTTTGAAAAAGTACACAAATGACTTTTTTTAAGATCCACAGACACACTGTTGTTATTTTGTGAAAAAAAGTAAAACTGATTTAAAAACTGCAGCTATTATAGCAGGCCATGATTATACATTTATTGTTGCACACGTCCTGGAGGGCACCAAAGTTGGAAATTACCGTACGTTACAAATATAATAACAGTAATAACACAATACGTCATGGAATTTATTTAAAGTTTACTCCGAATAATTTTCATGGAGACATGTCATTGTAGAGAGTTGATGCACAACACCCTGACACATTTGTGTTTGACCTCTCCAGTGCCTATTAGCTACTGCGGCAGTAGCACTGTAAAACCATCTGTTTCCAAAAGGTCACGAAGTGAATCGTGCCGGCAAATTCAAGTCTCTCCTCTGAACGTTGTCTTCCTCATTATACCTAGTAGGAATGTGTTTAGAGCGACAGTGTGGAGGAAGGGGAGAGCAAAGACCATCACTGAATCCATGTCTCCTACCAGATAGGAAGCGACAAAAAGGATTCAAATCACAAGTAACGTCTAATTCGACCTCATTCTGAAGAATAAATCCTGCAAAAGAATGTGTATCATAACTATTTTCATTCTTGGCTGCATGACACATTTGCGAACAGTCCCATGTCAAACAAGAGGTCTAAACCACCTTTGAGAGAGAGTTCAACCACAGTTCCTGTTTCAGGCAATACAGGAAGCAAATATTCGACTCGTTGAATTATGTCGCAAGTTTGGTGCGTTGGGCCGCTGAATGATTCTTATTGCACAAAGGGGAAACGGTGAAACAATTACAAACATTGAATCAAACAAGAATGTGACATGTTACAAAAAATCCTAAATAGAGCCTCTTCCTGTCTTTGACTGAGACAATGCTGATGAAAACATCAAATAACGCCCCCCCTTCACACAGAGTCCTAAGAAAACCAGAACTTTACTCTTACCTTAATGGGGAAAATTTCAACTATTGTGGATTAATTACCGGTACTGTTGGCGTAACATTAAATTAGCTCAGTAATTACAGTTTTAAACAAAGCATCCACAGCACGCGCCTCCCTTACCCCCCAGTCCCCTGTCAACGAATAACTTTTGAGGGCCATCAAAACGTCCTTCCACAGGCAAGAAGACACTAGAACCATGTGTGTATCACGCAGGTAAACCGAGTCTTTGACACGGCATCCAGCATAACCCCACAATGTCAAACATCGTTTGTCAAGGAGCATCATCTGCATGTGCTCACCCGAGTCAACAACAGTGCTTTGCATGCCACGTGTTTAGCACTTCATAAAACATCATTTAAATAGATTGAAAAACAATAAGGATTATACCTGTGGCCATGATGAGTCCCGGTGCAGACTCCTTAGATAAAATGGGAATTCTCCTCAGTTGGAAGTTTAATAGTTGGCTCCAGCGCTGCGCCAGATGGAGCGAGCAACCTTTACTGAGCTGAAGAGGAAAAGCAAGAGACGAGAGTGAAATGGTGGTTCATCATGAAAGGTTTGCTCTCACCAGCCAACCATCCAACAAAAGTAAAATTACTTGGATGAGATTGAAATCGTGTTTTTTCCTGACCAGGGTGGATAACTGAGGAGAGTGCTCAGGAGACTACTGACATTCTCCGTGAATCTGCAAAGTTGTTTTGAATAACAGTTGCTCTCTTGACATTTCATTTTAATTCAATAATATTCAGGTTCCTTGGCTCAAGATACATAGTCCCGACATTAATTGGAGGGTTCCCTCTATCGAGAATTGGGAGTCTGTTTCGCCACACCCGCTGATTAAGATCAGCTGAGCACGAAAATAAACATTCTGTCATTCCTCTCTCTGAAAATATTTGTTTAGACCAAGTTCCTCCTGAATATCACAATCTAAGGAAAGATCTCGCTCAGTCATTACCGCCTCATCGTCCATATGATTACGCTATTGAGCTCCTTAATTCTACCATACCTAGCTAGTTCCTGTCTTTACTCAGTATCACAACCTGATCAGGAGGCACTTAAAGAGTATATTTCCAGTGCTTTGGCTGCAGGACTTATTGGCCAGTCGACATCTCCTGTGAGAGCTGGTTTCTTCTTTGTTGAGAAGAAGGACAAGACTAAGGCCATGTGTGGATTATCGTCGACTTAACGAGATCACCATAAAAAATAAATACCCACTTCCCTTGTTAGATCGGCCTTCGCACCCTGACAGTCAGCAACCATTTTCTCCAAACGAGACATTTGCAGTGGTTATTATTGGGTTCGCATTCGGAAGGGCAATGAATGGAAGACGGCATTCAACACTCCTCTCGGGCATTATGAATATCTCATAAGCGCCTTTGGCTTGACTAATGCCCCTGCCATATTCCAGAGTCTAATAAACGACATTTTGAGGGACATGCTGAAAGTTTTCTGTTTTGTTTACCAAGACAACATTTAGATTTTTTTCTAAAAAGCATTCAAGACCATCGACAGCATGTAAGAAAGAGTCTTCAAAAGTTGTTGGAATATAGATTGTAGGTAAAGGCTGGGACGGCGGACACGCTGCGCAGCGGCCCCGTCTGACAAAGTTGCTCCATCCCAACCCCCTACATCCATCTCTCAAGCAAGAATTCTGGTATTGTGTCATTTTTGCCGGCTAAAATTCATGGTGCAATACTGGTACCGGTACTTGGTGCAACACTCAGCCCAACACTGAATTAATCAGATTGTGTCACAAGATGTTTGTCATATTAGTGCAATCAGTGCAAAGATGTAAACTGTCAAAGGTGTTGTACCTGGCAATCCACAGTCCCTCCCAGACTGTCAGCAGTGGGTGGCTGAAGCAGCTCCCATGTCCCACCCTTGTCAAACGTGATGACCGACCGCATGTTGCTCTCGCTGACAGTCCCATTAGCGAGTGTGGCAATGAAGACACCTCTGAGTCCCTCCACGCGGTGTAGGTCAGCAAAAGGCTCATTTGCAAAATATCTAAAACAAACGATTAAAAATTTGTTTGGGTTTGTATTGTAATACAAATAAGCAAGGGAGGAACGGGTTTAATATTTATGGGCCATATATTCAGAGATGCTTAAAGACCCCGTTAAAGGGGCAGTGTGTAAACATTTGTTGAATTTTCATTATTAAAAAAAAAAAAAAAAAAAAAAAGCTTAATTTCAATGTGCAAAAAAATATGCTCTTCCACATGAACATAATTTTTTTTAATGTAATTGTAGTTGAAGTAATTAATCATTTTATTTTTTGGGTGCGCCTCCCCTAAAGGAGGCTGCCATGTTTCACCGCCATTTGGCGGTAGGCATGGATGGTTAAATTCTATTATTTCACAACAACATGGCACTAAATTCTACACACTGCACCGTTAAATTTTAATTGAGATGTTAGTTTCCCTATGAATTATACATATTTAATTATAATTGCTGAAAATGTGCATACACCGAGAACTGTGAAGTACTCAGTTGTCCATTGTTTTTGGATGTGACAGAAATTAACTTTAGTGGAATCCTGCGTTGTATTCGGTGGTGACTCGAATTAAGATAACAACTGACCGTCAAAAAAATTTTCTTTGCATTTTTGGACACACAAAAAATTTTTACTATTTTCAGCAGGTACCGGTCTGTGAGTCATTTGGTACCGGGCCACACAGAAAGAATAAATAACTTTCTTATTTCTGTTTTATTCATTTCTGAATCTGTTTTATTTTGAACAATTACCGGACTCCCTGTTACATCCGTCTACAGTATGTCAATAATTGACGCAGGTCAAGGCGCGCTTTTCGGTCACATGATAGGTTACCGCTAAAATGAAACCCAGGAGCTAGCAAAATGCATAAAAAAAACAAACATCTTTGGAAAGTTTCTTTGGGAAAGGGAAAAGCGCAGCCAGGAGACAAAAAAGGAGCCTACGGCTTTCAAGACAAAGAAGGCTGCATTTAATAGACAGTATCATGATATGCAGCGATGGTGAGTCATATTTTTCATGCACAAACAATATGCACTCTTTGCCAAAATACTCAGTCTGAACAAAATGTTTGACTTTAATCTTTATGAATACCTGATGAGTGTGTTGCTTCTGGACCCCTCTGGAATGTAATATAGAACATTCTCCAATGACAGGGAAAAGGAAACACCCTGTGTGTCTGAGATGTACAGGTGTGTCAGATTGTTCAAGTGGTTGACACACACAAACACTTGGTCCTCAGAAGCATCAGCAATGTAGTACTCCTGTCAATCGGGGAGGGGGGGGACACCAAAACTTTACTTGGACACATTATGAAGAATGTTTCGTGGTCATGAAGGGAATCATGTCAAGGATGATGCACACGATATTATTTGAACTGCATAATTTCCTCTCATCCATACAACAGAGACTCACTGTGATTGGATGGCGGGTCCTAAATTGGGCAGCTTTCATTGGCTGACGGTTGTAGGAGACCCACAGCTGAACAGATGAAGTTTCAGCACTGCCAATCAGTTTCTGACAAAAAAAAAAGTCAGGGTTACTCCACTGATCCCGAACTCTCTAAACATCTTCCATAGAGCCATTATGTCAAGTGTCACGGATGGCAAATCGCAATTTTCAATTGACTTTACACGAATCTGATGGGCTGGATCGGATCAAGCAATATTGAGCATTTTATGCAAAAGCTATGATCAGCTTTTATGTCAGAAGACATTACAGCAAATGAAATCGCGTTAACTCAGAGGACGCTGCCATTGTGTAGGTTTAAACCGGAAAATTCCAACATTTTTAGCCTTGTCGTGTCAGCAGAAACCCAAGTGTTCCAATTGATGTGGTAAAGAAAGTCAGGAAACTATATTACTTATTACTTAGAGTTTGTGTGTAGAGTTTTCAAAACCCACTCTACTGTATAGGTGTCTTGAGAGTGACACTCTAGTATAGGGGTCATCGTCATGGTGCTCACAAGCACCAGGTACCACCCAGGAACCACACTTCGTAGCCCGAGACGTTGCAATTTCCCAAAAATCTTGTAGAAGTGATCATTTGAAAACACTGGCAGAGATTTACAGAAATAAAGTGTTTCATATTGATATTTATATGTGTCCTACTTATTGTAAGAAATCATTAACAGGATCAGTGTCTGTTTTCTAAAGACATCATCCCATCTAATATTTCCTATAACATAAGGCAAATACTTCACAGTGGACCTCTCTTTGTCCCCAAGTGTTAAAACATTACAGCAACAGGGTGTTTCAGTTCACACCAGATTGACAGCAAATCTGTCCATTGAAACAAGAGGGGAGATGAGATCCAAATCATATTCACCATCTGCTCCACTGTCTGTTTTTTTCTTCTACTGCCTCACTCTGCCTTCAAATACACAAACACCGAAGACTGGCAATGTGGTCCGCATTACCAAATGACAAATATTGATATATGCTGCAGCGGTGGTGTTACTTCAGCTCATTCAGTTCATTATGTATTAAGTGAAAACAAAGCTGAGTTGAAAACATGCTTTGGGAATGCATGAGCACGCATAACTAGAACAGCAGGAAATACTGTACATACTTTTCATTTGCCATGTTGCATGATCTACTGGAAGTCATGAAGATTAAAATGAGAAATGAGTTTCATGGCCAAGAAACAACAAAGTTATTGTCTCTAGAATCTAGAAAGTCAAACCAGTTTTTCCAACCTGACGTGAGAACCCACATTAATTTCCTTTAATGTTCAAGTTGTGTTGTTCCTTAAAATTACAGATTCATTCCCAACATAACAATGTGTCAACGTTAAAAATTCTCAGCGATTTCTGCCCTACTTATAAAGGCAGCTTTATTTATATAGCACATACACAAGGCAAGGCGATGTTACACACATAAGCAAAGACACTACACCTCCATTTACAAACACAACAGGTAACGACATGCAGAAGCAAAGCAGAGAAAACAAAAGTAGCTTTCAAAAATTACTACAACATGCATTGGCTACTATTAAACACATGAGCAGAAAACTTGGAAAACATCACAACTAATGACTAGCAGTTGTTTTTTTTTTAAATGCAGGTCTGAGTCGAATGTTCTCTTGGATAGGCTCAAACTCTCGGCTCTGCATGAGATAAACTGAACTACAAATAGATGGTTGATGGGTTTCTCATTCCATAATGTTTACAAATTAAAGGGACACTCGATTGGGCTGAACATTGGCAATTACATGATGTCAGCACTAAAATTCACGCCCTCTTGATTGACACATTAGCCAGACTATATCAGTGAAGTAAGGCGGTGAGCATTATAATATTGTTTCCTGGCTTGGTTTGTCATATTCTGTTGTCACCTAGTGCCTGAAAACAGAAGCCAATCGCCACCAAAATTCAGATGCACATTCCTACTCTGGTCCACTTCAATGTGTGAAAATATAAATGTCACCAGCACAATGTTTTGGATTTTATTGACATTAAATGTGATCTCCTGAGAGGGAAAAAAAAAACACTATCACCTCTGTAATATTGTCCTGTATTGAAAATACAAGCTAATATTTTTTTTCCGAATTTAAAAATATATATATATATATATATATATATATATATATATATATATATTGAGCTTGTTCGTGAAAAAATGGAACATTCCGGTTGGATAAGCCCTTCAATATTGAACTGTATATTCTTTCTGGGCAAATGTGCTGGAAGATGATCTTTCCCGGCACATCTACATGTCTCTGAACAACAATAATTCAGTTTATTGAATATGTGACAATGTTTATGCCAAGACAGACGACACTGACCGTAATTCAATTTTGCATGACAATGCAAACACCACTGCAATGTTACGTGAAGCTGTCTTACCCTTGTGGTGGTGGCAAACATGTACTTTTCCCTGAGCTGGAAACTGTCAACCTGTTCCAGGATAACTTTGCGGTTCTCTTCACTCTGGAAGAAGTCAGTACTGCTGAGTATGATGGAGACACCCTGGGGCTCATGCCTCTGGACCAGCACTGTTGTGGGGGGGTCGTAGGGCTCAACGCCCCTGAAGAGGAAAATGGAGATAGCACATTAAAAGGGGTCACACGTCATATTCATTAGGTCCCACCAAACTTTTTAGTTGCTACCAGGTCACCTTTTCTCTGTCCCTCTTTAAGCCTGTATTTATGTACTTGAGAATGAAATATTTATCTGTCTGTGATGCCAAAGGGAGGCTATTTTGCCACTTGACCTCGACTGCAAATTACTCCACAGTTGCTTCGGGCTCACAGCTCATCTGTTTTCTGAATTTGTTCATGTGATGTTCAGAAGCTGAGCCATCATTGGTCATTACCTGAGCCTGAGCAACTGTGATGTCATTTTCAGCCGAGAGCAAGCGGCAAGATGGAAGCCCTCTGAGATGGACAATAACAGGTTCATTTTGCTGATTCATTCATATTCCACCTACGTAATATTAACCGTGTTTAGAGTAGTGGGGCCGCATTGAAAATATTACTATGAAGAACATGTTTGTGTTGACTTCCCCTTTAAAGATTCCACCAAAATGGTTCCACAAAATGGACTAAAGTGTTGTCATCCTAAAACTCTTGGAAGTTCTTTAATGTTAGAAAAACAAACTGGTTCAACTGCTTGTGGTTGCAAGGCTGCTCCATAGGGCGGACACAGTGAGGCGGACTAAATGAAGAGGCTTGACTGTGTCTTATCGTCGGCCTTCCAAGCACTGTGTTTTCCTTCTGAGGCTCGAGAGCTTAACAGAGGGAGCACTGTCTCTGCAAGGCTCTGCAAATCTGGCTTTTAGTCAAAGATCCTTGCTCAACTTATGGACGCATCAAAGTGCATGTCAAGACTATTTGCACACTCTGTATGTCCCTTCCTTTGAATAAATACAACACCTCTAAGGGTGCTTTCACACCTGTAGTTCACTTTCTCAAGTCCGAATCAGTTAATCTGTTTGCAAGCAAGACCATTGTTGCGCCTGGTTTAGTTGATGTTTACGAAGTGACAATTCCAAGTGTATCAAAATGTGTCACAACAAATCATGTGACATTGTCAGTTTTGTCTATGATTCGTCACAAGAATGTAAACAGGAAATACGTTTTCTGCACAGGATAGTGAGTGAGAAGCTAATAAAGCAGAACAAACACCACAAAGTGCAAAAGTGAATTTCGTTGAGTGAACTTTAAAACTGTGACTTGAGCACATTATTCTTGGTCGTGTAGTGATGGTCTTGGTATCAGAAGTCTTTGCGCGTGCTAACTGCAAACACGCTAAAACCGAGTAGGGATTGGCAGCATTTGTGTCATAAATTAATATGATGGAGGATCTTGTACACTTAGATCTATAGATCTCCAGATCACAGGGGATTACATTTAAGTGTTGGCAAACAATCGCATTGGTTTGGGTTTTAAACACCACTCAGCAGCAGTAGTTGAAGTCCAATTGAAGTCCAAGATGGCGCCCGAGTAGGCAGCCATCTGCAAGTGCTCTCATGAGCCTTACTTTTTTTGTTGTTTTTCTGTTTGTTTTGTCACTTTGTGTTTGTTGTTACGTCGTGTGGACCTGATGTGGACTGTTTTCAGCATTTTTTGGCCACGACATTCATCAAGGAGGAGACTCGGTGCTTGGTGGTTTTGCCTTCTCGGCAGCATGGGTATGCCAGCACTGTTTTTGATTGGGAGGAATGTCGGCGCCATTTGACTGTCGTTGCTGGACAGCTCCGGGGGCGCTTGTGTCTTGCGCCTGTAATGGGCAGCATTTTCACAGCCCCGCTTTGTTCAGCGGAGAGATCGGTGCTGTTGAACGGTCTGTGGCTGGATGGATGCAAGGCTTGAGGAGCCGACGATGAGAAGAAAGGAGCGTTAGCGCAGAGCGCCAATGCGGATGTGGAACCGGGAGTCGCGGCTTGGAGTTGAAGCGGATTACGTGGGACAGGAGTAGTGAACTAATCTCTTTTTGTCAATGGACGCTACAGCTTCGTGTTTGCTTTCAAAACTTAGCTTGTAGCAGACGTGCACATTTTCAGCATGACGTCTCTGATCCACTGGTAAAAGGACACTTTGATCCTCTCCTCTTTCATCTATAACTGCTTCAGACAACAAAGTGTATGCAGGAAAGTGGTGAAGATTGCACGACTATCTGTGTCCTATGTGTTGTGTTGTGTTATTTTTGTGATTTTGACTTCAAGATGGCGCCGCGTGAGTGGCTGCCTTTCCAGCAGCTCCTATATTTTGTTGTTCTACTTCTTCCATTCATAACTTTGCTGCTGTGAATTGGGAATTTCTCCATTGCGAGACTAATAAAGGTTTTCTTATCTTATCTTATCTTAGTTAGTCCTCAGCGTCTCTGGTTTTGGGTGTCTCCAGACAAAACTGCCAAAGTCAGAACAAAAACTATTCAATTCTATTGGATGGATCCGCTACGAATGTGGGCGTAATCAATTAATAAGTAATCAAGTATTGAAGAGGGACCCAACTTGATGCGACCGTTCGCCCTGACCAAGATTTGATACCCAGTCCCTGGTATCAGGGATGGTACCCATTAGAGAAGCAGAGAGAAGATAGAAGTACTGTAATTGCAATGCATTTTATTCCTGTTTTCTAACAAGGTATACTTTTATTTTTTCCATTCCATTTTGCACCACGCAATACTTTAATCTCTTTTACAACTAGCCATTTAGAGTATAATAAATTATAAAAAGAATACGAATAATAAGGGTGGAAAGAATTCCAGGTCCAGGCAGTGGTTAGTCACCTGCAGCTGAATCTAGAGATTCCAGAACAATGGCAATGGCTGGCAGAGTCATGTTGCTGTCACGCTAGTTGAAGTGACAAGTGGTGTAGATTTTGGATTTGAACCCCATACTTTGTTCACACATTTATATTTTCACTTCACTTAGTCGAATATGCTTCGGGGAATACCGGTATATTGCGTTTTTCTCATGAGCAATGATAAGGATTAATTAAGTATGCCACTGAGTAAATATTTTTCATCATGACACCCAATTCTTAAAAGGGTTTCGATACTAATTTAGCAATTTTTGATGGTAAAAAGTTACAATTTCTTCTAGAATGAATTTGATACCATTATTTTTCATGTACAATTAACATTTTAGAAAACGTGGCTCATTTTACATTCGCAAGCTGAGCGAACTTGATTCCTGAGCACGTGATGTCATTTTCATTCGACAGCAAGTGGCAAAATGTCTTTCTGAAGTTATTAATTGCACAGGAAAAAATTTGATGTGATCAAATTCATTACAGACAAAATATTAACTTTTTACTCTTGAAAAATTGCTGAATTAGTAAAATATCCCTTTAACGAATTATATTTAACAGATAAAACATCCATACAGCAGGGACAAACTGAAAAAAGTCAACATGAAGCTTTCAGCCCAAAGATAAGATAAGAATAAGATAAGAAATCCTTTATTAGTCTCACAATGGAGAAATTCCCAATTCATAGCAGCAAAGTTATGAAAGGAAGAAGTAGAAGAACAAAATATAGGAGCTGCTGGAAAGGCAGCCACTCTCGCGGCGCCATCTTGAAGTCAAAATAACAAAATAACACCACAACAGTTAGATCCGAGCATGACCTCAAATTTAACGCAGTGAAACACAGTCACAATGATATGATAATCACAGAATGGATTCAACTGAAACTCTTATTATTTCAGAATTTCTAATAATGTTTAAAATGTGTTACTTTATTTAATCGCTCAAGCTTGAGGAAACATGAATAATGAGTGAGGTGAGCTGAGCATCAGTTTTAGATGGCATTGACGCTTTTGGTCTCATCTCTGTGAACTAGTGACAATGCGCACACAATTTCTTACATTGAGTAAAACCATTCATCTTATGATAGAGAATATTTTCTGGTCAATGTCACTTTAAGTCATACATAGTACATGTTATGTTATTTATTAATTGTTTTGACTCATCTCAGTGCACGGCAGGCCTGAGCTCGTATGTTGTTAACTCACCAAAAGTAGGTCTTCACATGCTCCTGGATCAACACCCACGTCTCCCCAAAGTCGTCTGACTTCCACAGCTTCAGCAGTGTGGAGGGGGATGGGGGCGGGGGTGGAGAAGAAGAAGAGGGGGATGGTGCATTTAAAAAAATGTAGGTCATGTTCATTCTTTCATTTTGTCTTTGCACATGTAAGCAGTGGAGAAGTAGGTAGCTGCTAGCTTATTGTGCATGAACTCAAGAAGAAAGAGAAAGAGCTTCTATATAACAAAGCAAGCAATGGTTTCTGTTTAGGGTTTCAATTATCTATGTTGGGTACAATAGACTCAAGATTACAACATACACAACACTATCAATGAAAATACTCAAAACAAAATATACAACCAATAGGCAGTGGCTCATAGAAATGTAAACATGAAAATTAAAGGGATTGTAAAAACAGTTCCAACACTTGTCAAAATGTTAAAATTTGTTAATTACAATCATACAATTCAAAATACGACAACATGAGTTATAGTTCATTAGAAAATTGTATCATCTGCATTATTTTGCCTGGGGGGGGGGAATAGAGCAGGCTATTGCTTTATAAGATTTGCATGGTCTGTTTTGAACAGCCATTGACAAAAAATATATGATATTAAAATGTATAAAATTGTATTTCATAGGTAATCACAGTGACTACATTTACATGCCAATAGTATGGTTAAGGTCAAATTTTCTGGTTTCTGAAGCATTTGGGATAAGCCGTTTACAACGCATGAGTGGACGGGGTGACTCCCGTATATATGGCAATTGGAATATCCTGATTTAAAAGGCCACACATGGACAACTTCGTGATGCAAATCTCTGCTTCTGACTTTTTAGCATCAATACAACACATTACATTCATGTCACTCACAACACAAATAAAACAGTTTCCTCCTTACTCCAAAAGTGTAGTTCTGTGCTATGCCTGAATTTTGCTAAACTTTGTGTATCTCTGTTTGAGTTCTTCCGGCGGGTTGCACGCCAGAAAGCAGGCATTCACATACTTGCTGTACTCAAAAGATGAAGATTTATTGTGGATAGAAAATGCGCAAAAACACAAACCAATGTTCCGTTCAAAGGACGTAACCAGATCGCGGTTATCCATTTATCCATTAATTTTGAAATCCGCTTATCCTCACAGGGGTCGCGGGGGGTGCTGGAACCTATCCCAGCCATCTTCGAGCAGTAGGCAGGGTACACCCTGATCTGGTTGCCAGCCAATCGTAGGGCATACATAGACAAACAACCATTCGCGCTCACAATCACACCGAGGGACAATTTAGAGTATTTCATTCACCTGCCATTCATATTTTTAGAATGTGGGAGGAAACTGAAATACCCAGAGAAAACCCACACAGGTATGGGGAGAACATGTAAACTCCACCCAGGAAGGCCGGAGCAGGAATCGAACCCTGCACCTATGGACTGTGTTGCCGACTTGCTAACCAGTCAACCAGTCGATCACCGTGCTGCCAGATCGTGTTTATATGACCAAATATTCAGGTTAGAAAAGGGGCAACCCAGAGGTCTTATGTGGATTTTCAAAAACCCAAATGTGAGCATGTTTTTGTGAGTTTACATGGCCTTTCAAAACTCGAATATTGGCAAAATTCGGGTTTTGAAACTGTCGTTGACTACATGGAAACGTAGTCTGTGTTGTAGTTGTTTAATGATCTACAGTGACATCTCATTACTGGTAAATCTGCTTCAGGCCTTTCCAAACTGTACACAAGGCCTATGGCAGCTTGACTGATGAGGGAAACGAAGGACCACCAAAAAAACTCCCATGTTTGTTTGTCATGTTTGTGTGCGTGTTGGAAGGAAGTGCTTGCTCATTTCACTAAGGAAGTGACTGACACTCTGACTTTGTTTTCAATGAGGCGAGTGAGCAGGTAGAGAACCAAAGGCAATCTGACAAACTCAAATTAAATCCATGATAAGCTTCTACTCATCTCACGCATATTCCCTCTGCAACATTAATATTCTCGTTCAGCTCAGATGCCGAAGTGTTTCACACTAAATCCTGGAATGGTGAAAGAATTTTTATCGTGGTGAATTTTTTTTTTGTCACTTTGTCGCTTTGATTTTTCCTCACCAGGTATGCAGAGGTGAGGGATCCTTCATAAACAAACACAACAAAACAGAAAAGAGACATTTCTCTGAGTCATATATAGTTTGACTGTTCAAAAAATCCTTGCAGAACTGAACAAAGAAACCAAAAACAACTTGAACTTTTCTCAAGTTAAACATTCATTGTACGGCAGAGGATGTCATTCTTTACCTGCTTGTTTGGATGAGAGTTGTCATACCCAAGCACCAGGTTGGGTGCTGTACTGTGGATCAACATGTCTGTTGGTTTGAATGGGAGGGCGAAACCTTGCACACTCTTGCAGAAGTCAAAGGTGTTCCATAGGTAATGGTTGGTGGAGTCAACAAAGAGGTACTGAAACACAAGGAAGCACACGCTTTCGCATAAAAGTCTAAAGCTGTTACACGTGGAGATACTATGAAAATGTTAATCGATTCAAATGTATTAGTTTTATTCGCCACCTCGTACTGTATATACAGTTGTGCTCATAAATTTACATATCTCCAGGGAATGTAAACAGTGACGTCAAGATGCATGCACGTCAAGACAGACCATGCGCAAAACCAGCCATCCCAGCTGGCTAACAAAGCCTCAGAGGCTTTGCGGCTTTTGCCATGGTAATATGCTTTGGAGGCGTGCAAAGACAAGCTCAGACATGATGCTGATTGGTAATGAGGGACACTCAAATGAATGGCCACACTGTCCGCCTCTCCAGACACGCACGCGCGCACGCACGCGCGCGCGCACGCACGCACGCACGCACGCACACATGATATAAAATCTATGTTTGAATTGAACTTGTTTCAATTCTTTGTTATGCACTGTATACTGTACTTAAAGTATGAAGAACACTTACACATTAACCCACAATATTTAAATGGGCTTCGTCGGTCATTAAACCATTAATGCCAAAGGGAAATGAAAACAGGATCCAATATCATGTTGTTCATGTCTTTACAACTATAACAGCTTCCGCTCTTTAATTAGGGGAGATTTTCCTCATGGATTTAGTCTCTAAATGGGGAATATTATACTATCCATGAAAAACATTTGTGAGGTCATAAGTCATTGTTTACTGATGTTAAATGTGATGTCCTAGCTCACAATCTATTTTTTTTAACCAAAATGTGTCTGATGGCTTTGAGGTTAGGCTTTTGTGCTTAAAAAAAAAAAGAAAAATAGTTCAGAAAAACCTGAATCTCACCGCCAACAGACCAACAGCTCAAAATCTGAAAGTATAAGATTTCTTAACTGTTATGTGGCGTTTTCATCCAACATCTGTTTGGATCTTGTTGTATCAGCACAAAAGTGTGGAAAACTCATTAAGATGAGTTAGCTAAGTATTCTGAGTCTGAGTGGCTGTCTTCTATCAAGCAACCAAGTTCAGTTTGCAACAGAGGAGTTCAGACCGGTAAGTCTTTCTATTGTCACCTCAGGGTGTGTCAGTTGGAAGGCAATAGTCTGTCAATGTAATATTGACCTGATTGTGTGCACTGGGCCACGTGACCGTACAACAAATAAGAATCCACTCACCCTCTTGTTATCTGCAGGACTGTGGTAAAACTGAGAGATGATCTGTGTGCTGCCATTCTTGGCCTTCATGCCGTCAGACAGTTGGAATTTCCCAGTGACAACTGTGAAGGTGGACCCATAATCATAGGAAACATACACCTGGATTCAAAGCAGAAACTGATCATTAGTCTCATGATGTCTCATTCGTCTCTATTTCTCAAAACTTACTGACGTGCATTAAGTACCCCCTTTTCTAATTGTTTTCAGCCACGCACCCCATTTATCATCCTGATGACGCTGGCAAACACAACACTGAGCTGAACCGAATTGACACGGCAGCACAGAAAGAGCTGACTGTGTCCCGCCGATTCATATCCTTGTTATTAGCCACTTTTGGCTGTAAATTTGTAACCACTGTAGCCAGACTGCAATTATCATTGTCTGTGGACCACAGAAACAAGGACAAAGTGTTAGCAGTCACCTTGAGACACGATAAAATGTAATATCAAGTTAGGAACCTAGAGGTAATACTGGACTTGGGCCTGAATTTTAATGGCCACATTAAAATCAGTAACATCAGCAGCTTTATATTGTGTGTGTGTGGGGGGGGGATGGCCAAATTCAAAGGAATAGAGTCTCAACCTGACTTTAGGATACCAATTCATGCATTTGTCTCCAAAAGGGTAGACTACTGTCATGGCCTGCTCACTGGGATTCGTATGTGAGTTATGAGACAGCTACAGTACATCCACAATGCTGCTGTTTTCCTAACTAGAAAAAGGAAATACAGTGATCCCTCGCTATTTCACGGTTCGATTATCGCGGCCTCGGTGCATCACGTTTGTTTTTAAGTACTGTATTCAGAAAAAAATGCCGAATGACTCAGGGGTTTTGTACATGGCTGAAGCTTGATTGGTTACGTCGACCAATGACAGCGCGAGTGGATCTATCCCATGATGCACAGCCATGTTGATTGGCTGTGCATCTTCGCAGCCCCGCCCAGCAACCTCCCTTGTGTCTTATTACATGGGTTACTCTTTGATCAGTGTTTCATCATGTGGTTGCCTAGATCAGTGTTGTGTTTACTTGAGAGAGAGAGAGAGAGAGAGAGAGAGAGAGAGAGAGAGAGAGAGAGAGAGAGAGAGAGGGGGGGGGTGATTGGGCTTGTACGAAAAAAACAGCACTGTCTCTTTGCTTCCTTAATGGTCTAATCATAAACACATCGGCTGCACTGTTAGAGCTGCATAAAGGCAATGCTGATGAATGTTAATTACTGTTTAAGGTTTTATAATTAAAGATTTAAATAAACATGTGTACTGCCATAGTCTTTGTCTCAAATATGTAAATTATAAATACTGTTTACATATTTGAAACATTCTGGTATCCACGAACCCTTACACAAAAATTCCTAGGGGGTGTGGTGGGGGGGGAACTTTACTTCGCGGATTTTCGTCTTTCGCGGGTGGTCCCGGTCCCCGTTAACTGCGATAAGTGAGGGATCACTGTACGACCATATTAACCTTCTTGGTAGGCAGTATGAAGACGTGCATCTCGCCAAAGACTGATTTTTGTCCACAGCAGGAATATTTGGGATAAAGGTGTTATGTAAAACTGAGAAAATAACCGCATTATTAAATCATTAAAATGCCTTGCCAAATTTCAATCCATTTCTGAACGCTGGTCAAGTGAACAGTGTGCCAATTCAACTCAAGGATGACACAAGAGAGCATGCATGCTACTTCTCAGTCAGTGTCTGACTGGCGATTGCTGCAGATTGCGCATTAAAAGTCTCGCTCAACAAACATATCATTATATGAAACATGACAAACCGGTTTGAAAAGAAATGCAGTTTATGACGCATTGAGAAAGGAGGTACTCAGGGTAATGAAGTGAAAGAGTCGTATCAGAGATACATAGTCAAGTTCTACGAGACTAAATAAATAATGACTGTGCAGGTTTTGCAGGTTTTGGATGTGTTGAAATTACCGAGCTGTTTCTGGGTCCAACGGCGCCAACGCTGTCTCGGGCCAAAGCTACGATGACATTGCTTTTTTCTCCAGCCCAGTGGACAACCATCTGGTTATGAGAGTCATTCAAGCTGGCCTGCAGAACAAATAGTGGTGAAAACAGGATGAGCATCAGGTGGATTTGGGTTAACGCTGCATGGTGATTATTTGACAAACAGACAAAATGTTTGTGGATATGCACCAATATGTAGATTCAATTCATTTTGTCATTTGGGGATTTAAAAAAAAAATCTTTTTTTTCTGTCAGCCTTGTATAAAATCTGCTTGAAGCAAAGACTTAATAACCCCAATGTGGCCAAGGTCAAAATTGACACGCAAAAAGAGAACTGAATCACAAAGATATGACAAATACAAATTAAAGCAGAGATAAAATTTTACCTCACTGATTTTTAAATGTGCTTGGCATGCAAGATTTGTTGTCAAAGCAAAAAGGTAGAGTGAGGACATGAATGGCGTCATTTGGGTGTGTCCCATGACCTTCTTTCCCTCCACCCCAAAAAAAGAAAAAACACTACAACAATAACCCTGAATGGGAAAGCCAACAACAGACATTGAGAGCCAAATCTCCAAAACCAGTTCTACAAGCACACGCAGATATGGAAAAAGCATGTTATGTGTTCTGAATTGTTCACTGTACACACACAAATAAAATGAAAGTGAAAAGCTAAATCGGCTTTGAATTGTATTTATTTCATATAATGAAATGCATGAGTACAGTACAACCACAATTAATGACTACTCAATGAAGTAAAAGTGTGCCACTCATTTACAAGGGTGCTCTTTTTTTTCCACTTCCAAGACAGCTTGAGTGTGAGCCACCAGCAAAGCATTGCCCTCATGATTTGGGGTCACTATCAATACTGATTTTACAGACCAAATAAGCATGACATTAACAGTTCAGGCATGTATGTTTGGCAGATTATCTCTCTGTTGTAACAATGTTTCTAGAAAATAAAATAGATACCGTTGGAAACATTATTTCCAAATTAAAGGAGGACTCAAAAACTAAGAACTTGTGACGTCAGTATTACAACACAACAGAGATGTCGTCAACTCCACCTTTATCGAGTCCAAATCAGATTCAAGTCACAAAGCTCTGAGTCCAAGTCAAGTCCGAGTCAAGTCCGACTCCCCAAGGTCCAAGTCCAAATCAAGTCCTAGTACAGAAGGTCCGAATCCAAGTCCAAGCCCTGATGAGATCAAGAGTAAACCTTAAGACAGAAAAATACTATTTTCACACCCACAAAATAAGACATTTCATTCTGCTCAACACTCTTTGGAACCTTTTGCTTCAACAATTCCTCTTTTGGTGGGGCTTCTTCAAGTGTCGAACAAAGCTCGACATGATACCGCATGCGTCCGAAATGCTCTTCTTCCAGAATCTGCAGGACATATTCCTTCTAAGGTGCGCGCGTGAGCAATTGCGCACGTCTCTCATCCTCTCAGCGCACACGGTGACAGCTGGCACGCACCACACACATACTTCATTTCTACACTCATTCCTTCACTTCCACCCCACATTAATCTAAAAACAGGACACCGCACCATTCCTACTTTCACTACAGTTTCATTAGTGCGACCGAGGATGTGCACTCAGTTATTCTACGATAGTTTGAGGCATACATCAACACATATTCACTCACACTCAGCCAGACAAGAAACTGCAGGCGACACGTGGACCACTCCCTTCAGGAAGTCCAAACAGAGACATAGTTTAAGAGCCCCTTGAATAAGGCTCTTTCGCATGTTTCAAAGGTCAGGTGGATAGAAATTTTTGTGTTTTCTTAAATGACATGTTTTCCTCCATGAAAACCAGAGTTGGACTCGGTCATGTTGATAAAAAGAATGTTTGAGTCAAATGGCCGAGTCCGAGACAAGTCTGAGACCCAAAAAAATGTGTCGATTCTGGACTCAAGTCTGAACTCAAGTACTACAACCCTGCAACACAATATAATATCACCCTCTTAAAGTAATGGCCACAGTCATATTTTAACAAAGAAAAAAAAAAGTTTTTCCCTTAAACATCTTTTCATGATGCCCCCCACCTCTGCAAAAATTGGCTGCATTCTTAGTGAAAAAGACTATCTAAAAATCCTGTGAATAGCAGTCATTAAAAAAAAAAAAAAACATCGCAAATTAAGGGGCGTATCATACAGGGAGCATAAGATATGAACTTTTTTTCATATTATTCATCTAGGCAGTACGTAGGGGTTGTAATAAAAAAAAAAAAAAAATGAATCACTGATTCATAGTGTATTTCATTCACAACGAAACATTAGAGTTGGGGAGGGAGGCCTCTATTTGACGGTTAGCTCCGGGGTCTATGAGTAGGTAAAAGCCGCCCTGAGCACCAGCACAATTCAACCAACTCGAGTCAATCCTGTTAACTCAATCTTTTCCAGTAAGCCAGCAGCTTATCATCAAAATGCTTTCCCTCCCTGTGTAAACGTAAGCTGACGTAAAGTACTTGTTTCACTGAGAGTCTGGCACACAGCATGCAATAACTCTTAAAGTTGATTCATCACCAAAGCGCATGTTATCCATAGAACAAATATTTTCAAGTTTACTTATTTAACTTGATCTCGTCGCACATTGCTTGACTTTGGATGAGGCTTTTCTTGCACATCTAATAGTCTAAATTCCATTTGCTGTATTCTACACACTTTGAGTAAGTTAGCATCGCACTATTGCTGTCGGTGAGTGGGCCCGGCGTCTGGTACAACCAAGGAGCAGGACATGGTAACAATACAACGGGCATTTATCCTGCAATCCCCTACAGCCCTCTCTTCTCTTCAGCTCAAAGCTGTCCATTATTCAACAAGAGTGAAAGGAAGGGGGGTGCAGTATGGCCGGGAGCCCATTGACAGCACAACCAGCCTCAAGCAATGACGTCATCTTTGTAGGACTGGCAGGCAAACACATCCTTGCTATGCTGTCAATTACCAGGTACAAATATCAGGATTCCCCCCGACCCTCCCTGTTTTACTGTAAATACCCGGTACTCATTCTCTTTGATGGTTGAATGAGAATTGTTTCTCATCGACAAAGCTCGTTGCAAAAAACTGAAATCTGTGTAAATATGAGTGAAAATGCACACGACATGGAAATGATTCTGGAGTTTGTTTGTAGGACACTTTATCCATTCTTTCATAACATTCGTGAGGTCAGAGGTCATTGATGGTGGACAAGAGGGCCTGGTTTGCTTTCTTTTTAAATTTTTTTCCAAAAGCTATTTAATGGGATTGAGACCCAGATTCGGTTTGATTTTTTCTGTGCTATGCTCGTCCAAGTTTGGCTTTTTTTTTTTAAAGTATGACAATAACGCTCAATTAAAAAACAGGCCTATTTTAAGATCTTGAGTTCTTTGCGGGCACTCACACTGATGAGCTGCTAACCTGTAGCTGCTTTCTTGTTTTTGAACAAGGATAAGAATGAGTGATAAGTGAATGATAAAACTTTCAATTATGTTGACATTTTGTAGAACTTCAATGACTGCAGAAAACTTTGGTAAGCTTTTTTATTTGTTGATGTCTTCGTGTAACTTTGGATAGACTCCTGAGCGAGCAAGCTCTCTGCACTTTTTGGTAGAATTTTTAAACAATTGTGTCTATTTTCTAAGACGGGAAAAAAACTTTAACATGTAAATCTGAAAAGCTGTTTAATTAATATGTCCTTGGATACCTTTAAACAAAGTCAAGTGCTGGGATTTTTCAGTTTTACCGCAAACTAATATCGGCTCAGAATATGTTATCGGCCTCCTCAACTGCCATTACTCAATCAATATTGGCCCTGAAAAAAAATATTGATCTATCCCTGCATAATATGTTACTACTTTGCTGTTACAAGTGTTTAGTTATTTGTAAAATGATTCTGTAGGCTTCTGAGGTCATTGGTCTGCTCCAGTCATGTGTTTCATAAATGAAGATTAATGAGCCCATCCCAAAAGAAGCAAGTCAAAACCAAGATATATAACCTTCACTGTGCTTCACAGATGCGTTTTTAAGGCTGGGTGATGAATCGATAAATTTAAGCTTGTTTACTGCAGGGGCGTGCAATTGATTTTGCAAAGGAGACACATGAGAAACTGGAACGCTCATCAAAGGCCATGTTTTTGCATGTCCTGTGCCTGCGTGGGTTTTCTCCGGGTACTCCGGTTTCTTCCCACATTCCAAAAACATGCATGGCAGGCTAATTGTACACTCTAAATTGTCCCTGGGTGTGATTCTGAATGTGAATGGTTGTTTGTCTAGGTGTGCCGTGCGATTGACTGACAACCAGTTCAGGGTGTGCCCCCGCACACTGCCCGAAGACAGCTAGGATAGGCTCCAGCACGCCCGCGACCCTCGTGAGGATAAGCGGATTTGCAAATGGATAGATGGATGGTCACTGTGAGGGCCAGTCAGAGACTGTGGGCAGGCCAAATGTGTTTCAAGGGACTGTTTTTTTTTTGGGGGGGGGGGGGCATTGCTTCTTCCATAGTATAATGCGCGTGACGTGCATTGCTTACTCTGAACATGGCTGCAAATAAAGTGAAGCAAGTTTACAAATGCACAGTCAGTTCAGGACATGTCTTGTGTCTAGTGTAAACAAAAAAATTATACGACATATATTTTAAATAAAAACAGGACAACTTGCTTTCAGTTTAGTTTTCTATAATTCATTCGAGTGACTATGCCCGTGTATTAATTAGCCTTTAACAATGTAGTTTTTCAACTATCAAAAAGAAAGCAAGTCTATTCAATTAGATGAATCAGATCTCAAACGTCAAAATTCAAAATCAACACTTAAAATAACAAATAACGTCACGGAAAATGTTGACTTTTTACCTGCATCTATGCAAACTGTATTGACTTTATATGTAATTGTAAAGCGATTACATATAAATAGCTCATTTCACAAGAGTATCATACCACTGCAAACCTACCAAGACTCAGCTATCCTTTCAACTTTCAGCCTAAACAAGTAGAGCACAAATCAATGATGCAGCCAAAATGCCCATGATCACTCTGGATGGATTCAGAGATCCACAGCTTAGGTTGGAGTATCTGTTCAAAGGACAACTGTTAGTCATACACTGCACATATCCAGTCTTTATGGAAGAGTGGCAAAATGAAATCCATTTTGCAAAGACAACTATAATAAGTCCCATTTGAAGTTTGCCAAGCCACCTGGGAGGCACAACAAGCACGGAAGAAGGTGCTCTCGTGAGATGAAAATCGAAAATGGAACTTTTTGGACAAATTTAGAGTGATTTGTTTGGCATAGAGTAACTTCGCACACCACCCTAAATATACCATTACCAACCGTCAAACTTGGTGGTGATACCATCATGATCCGGGGCTACTTTTCATCAGCAGGGACTGGGAACATAGCTAGAGTAGATGGGAAGACGGATGGAGCCAAAAACAGGCCACCATTTTGGAAGACAACCTGTTGGAAGTCTTTTTTGATTTCCCCCCCCACCCCAATGACTTACTCCCCATATATATATATATATATATATATATATATATGTATCCCCCCCCTATTCATTGTGTCTATTCAATGTTGAACTCCATCCTATTAGTCTGTGGTAGTT